CAGAGGATTTTTCTATTTTAGTAGAGATGGGGTCTGGCTCTTGCTCAGACTGGTCTTGAACTCTTGAGCTCAAGGGATCCTCCTGCCTCGGCCTCCTAGAGTTCTGGGATTACAGTTGTGAGCCATTGCACCCAGCCTAGAAAATTACAATTATTATACAATAAGAACTATACCTGATATTTGCTAGGAACTAAAGTCTTTTAGATGGGTTAGAATATAATGGTAGGCATCTTAGGTTGGCTCAGACACCAAATTCACTAGAAAATCAACAAACCAGCTTTGCTCTCGGTATTAAAAAGCCCCAGGAGGTTTTCCTGGGTGGCTGCATGTCTGAGTCTCGGTTATTATTACTGAAATACACAGAAACCCTCTGTCTTTTGAATTAATGGGACTAGTATAAAGTTGAGTCATGAGACTGAGCCTCTTGCTCCTGGCCCAGCAGCATCATTTTTCCTGGGTTTTTTTTAGGGGGTTGTCTTCCTGTGCCACACTCAGACTTTTGGGGCTGGTTTCCCTATCAGTGGTGTGGAAGGAAATTAGAAATTATCTCAAAAGCGGTGTTGCTCCTTCCCAGGGAGCAAGCCCCATCCAGTCTGCCAGGAACCCTTAGGGAAAAGAAGCTCTGGGGCCCGAGCAGGAGGTATTAATAGGCAGGGAGGCTGCGATCCTGGAAGGAGGGCCACGTGCTGCTGTGGGCAGACTGGCTGACGGATGGAGGGGCTGCTAAGCAACGCAGACAGACAGGACGCAAAGCCGGGTGCAGGGAGGGCCAGAGAGGAGGAGGAAGCTGAGGGACATGTGTTTGTCACCTACCCAGCTGAATCTGCTCAGGGACAGTCCTCTCCCCTGTGTGAGGAAGAGAAACAGACAAGGACATGGCAGTCAGCGAGAAGAAAGTCCTTTCAGTAACTAAGAGACGGTCGACCCTGCTGTGCCAACACGTGAACATGTCCCTCGTGGAGGGGCCGGCGGGGCTGCCCGGAGCTCCTTGCTGAGGGCTGCAGGCCCAGGTCACACAGCCTGCATGGTGGTAGGGGGTGAAGGCAGGTGCAGGGCGTGTAGGAGCTGTAGGGAGTAGAGGGGGACATGGAGGTGCATAGGGGGTAGCAAGGTGTAGAAAGTGGTGGGGGTTAGGAGGGTCCAGGGGGTGTAGGAAGGTGTGGGAGATTATAGGGGTGCAGGGGAACACAGGAGGGTGTAGGGGTGCAGGAGCTATAGGAGGGTATGGTGGGATGTAGGGGCATAGTAGGGGCAGGTACTTGAAGGGGTGCAGGAGCTGTGGGGGTGTGGAGGGTACAAGGGGCTGTAGAGAGTGCCATGGCCCACATGCTACTTGGGAGTCACATGGCAAAACGTTTTGGGATGAATTCGGGTTGCTCTGAGTCCAGCTCTCTTTCTGGTACATTTTGGGATTTCAGAGTCGGGGAAAGCTCATAAACAGAGGGGTGACCAGTCAAATCACTCAGGTTCTTACCTTCCCTTGTGATGGAGGAGGCGTGCGAGGCGTCACCTGGAAAGACAGAGACGCGGCTGAGTTGGGAGCCGCCCTCCAGCTGCCCCAGTTCTTCAAGGGCCCAGGCCCTGGCGGCTGCTCCGGCCCTGCCTGGCCCACCCACCAGCTCCTCTTAGGTGGAGGAGGCCCCCTCTGGGCCTGACTCCCCATCTGTAAGGATTCTAGTCTAGGGGAGGCGGATGCTCCAGAACTCTCAGAGGAGGCAAGTCAGTGGAAAACATGCCCCGGAGTCCAAAGCTGGACGCTCACCCCGTGACAGCCCCACTGCCCGGAGACGGGGTGGAGGCTTCCTGTCGCTGGGTCCCTGTCACAGCCCACACAGAGCAGTCCTGTGTCTGAGGACGCCCTGTGTCCTGTCTGCACATTGTTCCTCCCTCCTGACCCCAGCCTCACACGGGGTACGATCTGCACAGGGCTGGGCTCTTGGGCAGATGCTGTGGGAAGCACCGGTTTGGAGCCTGGGCTGGGTGCCAGGGTGGAGCTCTGGGGCCAGCCTCACCCTGAGGGGCCCCGGTGTCACGCACAGATGGACTTGTGTCCCGTGTGGACTGTGCAGCAGTGGTGCCCCCCCCCCCCCGCACGCCTGCTTCCCCCAAACCACCACTTACGATGTTCTTGAAGAAATGCACTACAGGGTTCTCGTCCTGGGCCCGGCCATGCTGGGACTTCTGGGGCAGGGAGCCGTAGTGGGTGGTTCTTGTCACGTGGTGTGAGTCCTGCAAGACAGAGGCACGGTGACCAGAGGGCAGGGAAGCTGACGGCTGCTCCCGTGTGTCAGCCCTGTGCTAGGAGGCCCCTGCTGAGCCCTGCCAGGCAGGCAGGCCGGCCAGCAGCGGGGTGTTCACTTGTGCACCTGCTACTGGCCAGGCAGACATTCCTGTCACCGACCTGGTGACTGGGTCTCCTGAAGTCACAAACTGACAGAGAGGAAGGGAATGTAACTTAGGATGATTTTATCCAAGAGAGTGGCAGGCCGGGAAGAGCATTGAGAGAAAGGTCTAGTTTCCTGGCAGGCTTCTGCTTTGAATAAAGGAAAACACTCAAGAATCACACACAAAACAACCCACGACAGCAAAAGACAGGTCAGGTTGTCCCCTTTCAGGTGGCTACTCAGTGTTTCTCAGGGTCCTGCATGCCTGGTTTGGGGTGACCACTGCCGCATCTCTGACCACTGCTGCATCTCAAGCAGATGGGGGTGAAGGCACACGAGTGCCTGGGGCCCATTCACACGCGGCAGGACCAGAACGTTCTGGGGCAGCAGGTGAATTGCGCAGCAGCACCAAGCAGGGAGCTCTGCTTGGCAGCAGTTTACCACAGAGGGAGACAGGCAGGGTCCCGGATGCTGCCGTCCTCCCAGGCCTCCTGCAACAGTAGTGCCCTTCAACGTGAGGCCCAAAGCCCCTCGTCCTCTCACCATCTGCCCCACGAGACTCCCAGCACTCCTAGCTTTCTCCCCACTGAGGACAGCGACCCTCCCCTTGCCAACGTCCACTGGGCCATTGCTGCTGGAGAGTGAGGCCTAAGACCCACATGCTTTTGAGAGGCTGTTTCTCGGGCTTCAGCCTGCTGGGAGGCACAGCTCTCAGTACCTGCCCTCTCTGGTTGGTACCTGCCCTGACCATGACCAGCACCCACACCACATGCGGCGGCCAGGACAACTTTCTGGGCAGCTGGGCCTTGTGCAGAGTGCCCAGGCTGCACACAGTGCCCTTCCTTCTGACCTCTGTCCAGTCCCTACTCCAGGCCTAGAGCAAAGGCACATGCTGGGGGCGCCTGCTGCAGCTCCCCAGGGCAGCTCAGCGTGGGGGCCCATTCTCTGCATTGTGGGTTCACACTGCCCACCCTGGGGTGTGGGAGCAGCACGGGACCCATTCTCTGCATTGTGGGTTCACACTGCCTGCCCTGGGGTGTGGGGGCAGCACAGGGGCCCGTTCTCTGCATTGTGGGTTCACACTGCCCTCACTGTGGGGTGTAGGGGCAGCATGGGGCCCGTTCTCTGCATTGCGGGTTCACACTGCCCTCACTGTGGGGTGTGGGGGCTGCGTGGGGCCCATTCTCTGCATTGTGGGTTCACACTGCCCTCACTATGGGGTGTAGGGGCAGCGTGGGGCCCGTTCTCTGCATTGTGGGTTCACACTGCCCGACCTGGGGTGTAGGGGCAGCGTGGGGCCCATTCTCTGCATTGTGGGTTCACACTGCCCGCACTGGGGTCTGGGGGCAGCACGGGGCTGCCACGTGCTGCTCTTCCTGCTCCTCTGGGGCTGTGAGCACCTCAGAGACACAGGACAGGCTCCTCATCCCTGACACCTGGGCCGGGCCTCACTTGTAGCCACAGCCAGGCACGGTCCAATTCTGTGCACACAGAGAAGGTGACGCGACTGACGTCCTGCCAGAGAGTTCTGGACTTTATTAAAGATGGAAGGAGGATCCAGTGTTGTTTCCTCTATTTCTTAACAATCAGCGCCTCGGGTTTTGCCCCTTATTTATGCCATTCTTGTTTTGTGCTCCTGGCTTGTTAACTATTGCCTCGTTTCCAGTCAGACTGTGGCCCCGTCTCAGGTGGGGTGATCTCCACTCACTCCGTGCTCCTCCCACACGGCAGCTCTATGCTCTCACGTGCCTGAGGCTGTATGCAGGTGCTCATCTGCGGACTGCTGGCCCCACAGTCCCACACGCAGAGGAGGGACGTGGTCACCCTGGTCTCTCAGAGGCAAGTCCGCTGCGCCTTTAAGCCTGAAGAAGCAGGAACTGCCGGGGCAGAAGTGGGAGCATGGCCCTCGTGGCTCGACCCCCAGCCTTCTTATTCCACTTTCTCTCTCCGTGATTCCTCAGTGATCGCATCTCAGGCCCGTGCTGCCTGACTGTGCCACGGGCCAGTTGTGTTCAGTCACCACGAACTGGCTCCCACATTCTCCTCCAATCAGAGAGTGAGTGTAAAATTAAGAAAAACATAGACAAGCCAGGAAACTCTTTCCATTGGTTACTTTGAGACAAACATCTTCAAGTGTTCATTATGTCTATCAGAGAAGTTAGTTATTAGATCCTATCCCAGTGGCCTGATGTAACAGAGCATGTTGTGATAGTGGGGGTTCACATGTGAACTCTGCACACTTGCTTTGAATGATAAAATAAAAATTATGTATTTTGTAAGTTACTTTTCTAATGAATACAATGGTCACAATGCCCAGCTATTTTTTGTTGTTGTTGCAGTTTGGATGCGGCTGGGTTCGAATCTGCCACCCTCCATATATGGGACTGGTGCCCTACCCACTGAGCCACAGGCACTGCCCAAAGTTGGCAAGTTATTTTAGAGCTCTCTGTGAAATAAGGGGTCAGACTTTTTCATGAAAAAGCCATTTGGTTTATTTATGGCCCTCAGCACAGAATGGAGTATGCAATAAGCATTGATTTTTTTGTTGTTGGATCAACATGTACACTACTTGGATCATTTTTTATACAGAACTCAACACACTGAATAGATTGTAAGCCAAATAATGCCCCCTAACCCAAGTACATACTTTATACAAAAATTAACTCAAAACAGATCACAGAATCATTATGGAATGATATTACTTCTTTGATTATAGATTCATCAGAACGAGAACTTCAACTTGGGCTTTTTGACTGCAAATAGTTGCACAGATAATTTGAGATCGTCATACGGTTATAACGCTATTGGTGCATCATGGTTGTAATAACCTCTTGCTAAAGGACACTTAGTCAAGCAGCTACATGTGAACAACAAACAGTTAAAAACCTTACCATATGTGATAGAATCGGAGAAACAAAATATCAAGTATAAATCCACACAAAAGGTGAGAATATGCAAAAAACTGGAAAGCACTGGGGGAAGGAATCACAGAGGACTTACAGGAAGGGAGAGACCATGTTCATGGATTGGCAGACAGCACAGTAAAGAAGTCGATTCTCTCCCACATTTACCTATAAATATAAGGCAATTCCAAGCCACATTCCAGCAGGACTTTGTTTAGATATAGACAAACCGATTCTAAAACTATATAGAAATGTAAGGTAATTAAGATAACCAAATAATTTTGAAAAAGAAGAATAAAGTTGGAGAAGTTGCATTACTTTATCTTCAGATTTATTGCATAACTGTGGTAATCAAAGCAGGGAGGTCCTGGAGGAGGGATGGACTCACGGGCCAGTGGGACAGAATAGAGTCTAGAGATGAACCCACTCAAATCTGATCAACCCATTTTTGACAAAAGTGTAAAGACAATTTCATGGTGAAAGATATTTTCTCAGCAAGTGATATAGGAAATAAGCCAAATAATGCCCCCCAACCCAAGTACATACTTTATACAAAAATTAACTCAAAACAGATCACAGATCTCTAGCTACAATGTGAAAATATGATTTTAGAAGAAAATAGAGGAGAAAATCTTCATGAGCTTCGAGTAGGCAACAAGTTCTTAGCCTGATATCAAAGCAAGATTCATAAAAGAAAAATGGATAATGGGGCTGCATCAAAGTTTAAAACTTTTGTTCTGCAGGAGATATTGTTAAAAGAAGGAAAGACAGAAAATATTTGCAAACCACTTATCTGGCAAAGACTTGAACTCCAGAATATGTATGTAAACCACTCTCAAGACTCAATGGGGAGAAAACGAACAACCTGGTTAAAAATTTTGCATAACACTTGAATAAACACTTCCCCAAAGAGGCTATACAGGCAAAAAATAAGCAAAGGGAGAGACAATGTCCTCAGCCATTAGCAAGAGAGCTAAAAAACCAAATCAAAACCGGGTGATGATACTGGTACACACCGGTTGGAATGTCTGAAAATAAAGGTCCTGATAACACCAAGTGTGGGTCAGGATGGGAAGCTGGAACTCTCCTGTATTGCTGTGGGAATGCAAAGTGCCTCTCCATAAAGCGATTTGGCTGTTTCTTATAAAGTTAATAATACACTTACCATGTGAGCTGGTGATGTCATTTCCTACTTTGAATAATGAAGGAGACATCGTTTATTTTTGAAAATGGTTTTTGTAGTGAGTGGCTTGGTCATCATTTTTTTGAGAGAAGAGTAAATTTTAATGATGACTTAAGCTCACACAATAACCTGTATGTGACTGTTTACAGAAGCTCAGTTCATAATAATTAAAAAATGCAAACAGCCCAAATGTCCTTCAGTGGCTGGAGGTCTAAACAAGCTGGGTGCAGCTTACCGCAACAAGAGCCCGTCTCCCTGAAAACCTTCTTCCTGCTTCCTGTCATGCTCACACTGCCCCCTCTGCCCATTCCCTGACCCATGTCTGGCCAGCCTTCCTCTCCACAGTTCAGTCTTTTTGAGAATGTCATGTCCTCATGTCAAATGAGATGCTACTCGCGTTGAAAAGGCACAAACTTTCAATACATGCAGCGACTCAAAGGCATCTCCAGGGCACCATGCTGAGTAAAAGAAGGCATTTACCTATAAGTCCTGCGTCTGATTCCATTTACATGACATCACAGAGCGGAAGGCTGGCCAGAACAGGGTCAGGGAATGGGCAGAGGATGCAGTGTGATCACAGCGGGGAGCAGGAGGGAGGTTTCAGGGAGACGGGCTCTCATGGCAGTAAGAGCCACAGGATTCTGTATACCTTAAGGTGACCAGATTTTAACATTGGTAAAGCGGGACACCATTGACGAGGCGGCGGGGTGGGAGCAGGGCCTGACAACGATGAAAACTTTGATAAGCAGTTCTGGATGA